GCGACCGACGTAACTACACTATTATTCACAACGGACGATCTTGTCGACAAACAAGAAACCTTTCTTGTTTTCATGCACCAGCAAAAGTTACTTTCGATTGATCTGACCGCTATGTACAACCAAGATCATCCTGCAATTTTCGACAATACGATTCGAAAGAAAAGTCTCGCAAACAAGAGAAAACTGCACTATTCCCTTTCTCCTACACACAGCTCCGTGTGCTTCAGACAAACAGAGGCAATAGTGAGTTGCACGATTCGAGACCTCATCAGTATCGTATCATAGTAGAGGTCTGCAACCTAGAATATCTCCCAGAGCTCCGGGGCACCCCGATTAAGTCAGTTGAAGCTTACCTTATCACATAGTATCTAGCAGCAGAAAGCTAAGTACTTCTCAAATACCTGAGCTAGTAACTGCAGTGAGAAGGAATTCGATTGTATGCTACACTACCTGCTGCCTGTCTCAAAGCTTTCAGGGCCGCAATGTGCGCTAAGTCATCAATCTACTGCTGGAAGCTGTGCGTCCGAGAACAACAATTGCGCGGCTCGTGACCTATCTATCGACTTATTAATCGAGAGCTAAGATACTCAACAATAGGTAGGTAAATCAGCTCAATGGGTTGAAGGGAAGGCGAAAAGGACAAAGGGTTAGGGATTGTCTACGAATACCTTAACTATCTACATCTACCCGAGGCAACAAGCCGAAAGTCAAGCAAACTTATAGCAACTCATCGACTTAAAAGTATTGATATCGCAACACTATGATATTTACGCATGTAGAATGTTCTCAGTTCTTGGAATCTAGCTTTATTGAGCCTAGAGTCCAGCATACGATAACGCAATTAGCTCGCCATTTTTGTAATCGACGTTCAGTCAATGCATCAGCAACATACGTCATCTCGGTTTCCTTCTTTACCCCGCTCTTCAGGCCCATTACCCATTTAGTTTATGGCCAAAAATCCCGCTTAAGAGATGATTGCCTTTTCTACCCAGGACCCTCCTTTCCTGGAGCCCTGATGTCAAAACTTGAATCTTTCCGTCTTCGCCGCTGGTTGGTACTGTCATATCTTTTCATCCGGCGGTATGACAAACCGGAAAAACCGCCATTTACTCTCAGACTTCAGCTGTCTTCGCATGAAGGCTCTCAAACAGTCAACAATGATCAGGCAGAGACCACAAGTCTCGCTTTCTCAGAGACCAGGTAAGTGAAGTTCAAAAGCACAAGATACAGGCACCTTTGAAAGTAAGCACATATTGATGACATTTTTAAACTTTAACTGAAGCTGCATGCTTTTATATCCGGTTCCCTAATAACGATTACTATCGTGCTATATATGTGAAGGAGCGGACAATAGTCGAGTTACAATCTCAAATTTCGCGAAAGGCACAGATCAATATTTGCCGCATATTCTTCCAGATATCTGCAGGCCGAAAGCGGCTAGCGAACGACGAACTCCTTCGACAAATTCCTGACGGTCAGGACATTATTGCGGAATTTGGGGATACTATGTATATCGATCGTGGCATTGATGTTGTATTGATGTTTCGCTCATAATTGCGGGCACTCCAGGGCACGGAAGCGAGTTACAACTCGAAGTGTTGTTTCACATGGATAGTCTCTACAGTCCGCCGTACTCATCAGGTAATGGAAATCCCTTGAATCCTTACGTAATCACCGATAACTGGTTATTGACCATCAATCAACTCAAGGTGTTATACGCAGCGGTTCAAGGTATCGTTCCAAGCAGATTCAACTCAATTATTGCTTCCGAGTCTGTATAGAAGTTACTAGCGGCCCAAATACACTGGACATAATACCAGTTCCTTTCTAGTAGCATGCTGGGGAGAAAGCTCCAAGACTGAATACTTCTTCGATGGCCCGTTTAAAATGAATTCAATGATTTCAGTAGCATTAATGCGAGTACTCAATGCCGCCTTCCAGGACACGAATTTAACTGGATGGGCGGTCTCCAACTAAGGTTTCATATACCTCAAGCAGCGCAGGGTCCAAGGTTGAGGGAGTAAATTCTTGCTCGTCAGTGGCTGACTCCGGATGTGTGTAATCTGCTCCCCAGCAGTCATCATTATCGAGAGACGGGATAGTTGATGGTTGCGGATGCAGTGGACGGGTATTGCCAGCATCGAAGGACCCTAAATAGTAGTGCTGGAGATTCCCGTCGGCAATTCGATCAGCTACATCCGAAGAAGCTGGTAGGCCACTTAGGTCCAATTTTCGAACGCTGGCAATTTTGCGTAAAAGACGATCACAAGTCATGAAGGCACTTCTCGCACTGTAACTTCGATTGCCGATACAAAATAACCAACAAAGGCACTTTTTGGATTCTTGGAGTATCTTCTCCGGCTCTTCTGCTGTTCCCACCGCCCCTTCACCTTCGGTGATGTCTCTGCTTTCAGAGACTTCGACGGGTCCCACACACAGTTGGAGTAGTAGGATTACCAATGCTTGCATTAAGTAATGTACTATGGACCACCATGGTGTCATTGTGCAAAGCCACTCCAAATCTGGAAGATCAGGTAGGATCGAAATCAAATCAAGAGCAGACTGTAAACAGGCATGTGCCTTGTCATCATCGAAACTAGAGCGAGGGCGCTTGACTCCTGTTTTTTTTGTGACCTGGGGCGGGTAAGGTAGGGACGATTAAGAACGATCTGGATGCTGTAGAAGCTGAAAGCGAGCGATATCTTCTCTAGACACTCCACGCCTTTGGCGTAGTGTCCATGGCTATCAGTAAAGGCCCAATCCTCCTTTAAAGACGATAGCCATTCTTTCAGCTTCTGCTGGTACTTCATGATTTGATGCTGATTTTTGCTCGCCGTGCCGGATCGAGATTGTAGACTATACACTGAGCTAATTGCCGCGTGGCCAATCACAGCGAGGTCAGTTAAGTAAAAGAAGAATAAAGAAGCGTTTGGCTGCACATATTGTAAACATTTCGTCCTTTCCTGCAACTGCAAGTTATTGGCATATACTGTGAACAAGAGGTCTTCCTCTTGTGCTTTATGAAGATGGCCGGCAGCCTCCGACCCACGAAGTTGGTCCCCTTGGCAAGATACACGAGTAGTGATACTGAAGCAATGCCAGTCAATACAAGACGTGCGACCTGTTGCAGTACAAAGTACCTGCTCCAGGTTGACGATTGACCACCATAGGCTGGAACGGAACGCTTTCGAGCCGTGATCCAAGTGTCTATTACTGACTCGGAGATTAAGCCCTAATGTTATAGCAGATCGGGCAGTAAAGCCCAGTAATTGCCATGATCTATTACGAGTTAGAGGTTGAGTTAGATCTAGACATGCTCATTCAAAACAGCGTGTATTGAGCGGATTCAAGCTTACCGGTTAATCTGGCCAGCAACCAGATAATAGAGTGCAAAAAGCGTCCTTACTTGAACCTGTTGTAATTCCACATATTCAAGAACGGAATTATGCTTTGCATTGAGTGCAATGGCCCTTGAAACTAAGATACGATCATCAAGATTTTCGTCCCAATGCTCTTGGCGCAACTGGAAACTTTTAGCTCCAATAGCGAGGACTAGGTTAAAGATCACGAGCCAGCTTTGCGGAGGGGTCGACACGCGACTGCGAAAGGCATTCTCATACTGCTGGCAAAACAAAGGTTCGAGTAGCAGTGGGAAAGTTGGGTGAATGGAAGAAAAGTAAGTTTGAAGCAGTTGATCAGCCCAAGGCTTTGGTGGCATTGCGTAGAGATCACCATAAGTTGGTTCCGCCATAACCAGATTGTCGAGGTGGTAATTGAGAGAAGCGAGACTTTCTTTATTATGTTTGACGTGCTGTTCGGTACCGGGACGTTCTAAACCGCCGACTTCAGCGTCAAGTCTCTGAAGCCAAGCAATGTCAGAGCCTCTTCCTATAAATCCTGTTGATCTGCTTTGCCTATCTCTGTTCACATCAATATCAATAGTTTCGATTTCGCCGAGTGGATCCGTTGACGAAGAGGATGAAAGAGAACGACATCTTTGAGGCTCTTCTAAAGCATGGGATCTCGATGTAAGAGGCTAGTACAAATGTTAGATGCTTTATCAGGATGTTCGGAGTAAAGTTTTACCTTTAATGAATTCGCTATGTAAGCAGAGACCTCCGGACGGAACTTAGTGGATAGTTCTTTGACTAACTGTTCATAAAAAGAAATACGTTCTTGGAGATCCTGGTATGTGGGTCAGCCTGCCCTTGTGTATTTTTTTGCCGCCGGATTGCACAGATGATTCCCTGTGGTGCGTCGTACCTGCAGTTTCTGACGCCTTTGATATTCAATCCTTGGAGTCAAAGCCGACTTATCTTTCGATATCCTAATAAGTCTCTCGAGCTCTATCTCGTTACTTGCTTCATAAGCCGCTTTGATTTGATCAAGTAAGAAGTAGGCTGAACTCAGTTCCTGTTCGATACGGCGCAGTGCAAGCTTTCTTCGTCTATCAGATTCTTCCATGAAATGACATTCTGTGCCTGTCTGAAGACATCTATCACACGGAAGCTCTCCTAGACACTATAAGTCGTTCTCAGTCAGATGTCTTCAAGACGGACTATTTGGAGTTATACTCTTGATTTCCTCTTCTTGCATGCTTCACAGGCATTTGTTCTTTTTCGGATTGGTTTGACGACAGTGTCTTGAACAGGATTAATGGCAGGATTAATGGCCAGGGAGCCAATGTCCGTAGCTGGAGCAAGGGTCCGTAGAGCCTGGCTGTATGGAGATTTCATCTTTTCATGACATATCAAGCTTTTGGCAACATAGAAAATGTGGTGGTCTGGATAATTGAAGTTGTAGGCAATCCGAGCGGAGATAGAATTACGACCAAGCGGTGCGGGGTAGATGATGTTACTTTGTTCTCGAGTGGCCAATAGCGTGGTGGAACACTTTTGACCAAACGCATTCTATTCCGTCGCTTGGTAGGAAAACTTTTCATGGTCACGAGTAACATCTCCAAATATTCTCCTCTCCAGGGCGTCCCTATATGTTTGACTAGTTATGTTTTTATTTGTGCTTTTGTATACTAGGAATTTTGAGGAAAAGCGAGTAGCTGGAGATCCAGCCGAAGCGGATATAAGTCGGCTAAAATCCGGATTTCATTTGTCTAATCACTTATCACTGATATCACGGGAAATCCGCAATTACTTGTAATTAAAGGGAACCCAACCCTCCTACCAAAAGACTGACTGCGACTTATTCATGTCTCATAAGTACATGTAGTGGACTTAGAAACCAAGAGGTATATGTAGTTTGTAGTCTTGCAAAGCCGTGTTATGGTCTCTAGTTTATTCAATGTCAGTACTGTAACTTGACTAGTAATAGCATTTCATTGTATAGACAATGAATGCTAGTATCAACTAGTCTAAATATGACTTAGCTTGGCTTCACTGGAGGGTTTTGGAAACAACAGAAGAGAGTAACTGGTGACATCAATTCTCGGAAAGATTGTAACGTTAAGATCCAGAAGCGCAAGCTTGTAAAGGATGAAAGTACCGACAGATCGGGAGGCACTGTATGGTCGGCGAGGGAGGCGATGGGGATGGATTCTCAACCGTCTGTCCCTGATGGGAACCAAAATCCCTTCACCATACCCTACTCATCCGCAATCTCCTCCCCCACCAACCCGACCGCGCCGATTAAATAAACCCCCCAACACCACAACGCGAAAAACCTTTTCCATATCTCAACCACCTATTCGATAATCACAACCAGACTCGTTTCTTTTCATGGGCAAGCACTGACTGATACCACACTT